CTATTAGCCCAGAAAGTGGGCATTTTTAATTTGACAGATAAGGCTCCCATTGATTTCAAAGGGGTTTGAGTTTTGAACGTATTTTAAATTTGTCAATGTTCAAACCAAGCCAAAGGGAGTTCAACTAATTCCCAATGGAGACCTAGTAAGTGACTAATTGAGAGAGAACACAGGAACCTTCCAATGTTTCCCTGGCATGGAAATTAAAAGATTCAGCTTTCATTAGAATCGAAATGGCCAAGGAGTCTGAGTTCTAAATGGGTCCAGACAGCACAGTCTGCGATTTGAAAGGGAATCCAGGGAGAATTTATAGAGAAAGATCAAGAAGAGATTATGGTTTAGTCTGTTGTAGATATCCAGTGTACTATACCTCACCATCCTTCCAGTATTGCACATGCCATAAATATTTTCTGTTTTAAGATCTACTAAATTGACTGATACTACTTATTTATTATATCCTGAGCAAAGAGCCACATCTGAAAGTAAATGTTTCTGGGGCCTTACTGCCAAGTATGTGCATCTAGGTCGTCTACTAAAATGTGTTTGGTTTTTTGAGATTTTCTCCTAATTTCTTCAATTTCTTTTTCATGAAACTGTTGTCACCGTGATGGGAAGTGAGTAAAATCTCTCTAACTGTGCTTTGGATAACAGTAAACATCTGACAGAACTTCTATTCATACCCTATTCAATCCAAGACTAAAAAAAAGAAAATTGGTTAGATATACATTACAGTTTAAGATAAACTGTATTTTGTTATGAAGGAATGCTTAGCATATGGCACTATTGCTTCACATGCATAAATCATGGGAAATTCCCTCTTGACATGGGTTTCTAGCACTTGCAGAGCATTTAAAGCTAAACACCAGAAAAAAAGCTAATACAGAGATCAAATACATAAATGAGAGCCGTTGCACTTGCTAAAGAATTTATATTTCTGTATTTCCAGTCCTGAGATTTTCAGCCTTGCAGCCTTCACAAATTGCACAGTTCTGTGTGACACAGAAACCTGATTTTTCTCTGCTGCAGTTAATTTACACTTACAGGTATTTCCTTTCCTCAACCTGTGACTTGACAGGGAAATGTGAAGCAGGACAATGATGAGCTTTTTGCAAAGTAGATGGTCCTACCTATTTCATAAGAGGCATGGCGAGTTTTTTGAAGTTGTAATTGTTTTGTCATAATTTTTTGGAAAATGAAGATATTAAAAAAATTATTTTCACAATTTATTTTTTACATACTGTCACTAGTGCAGTACAGTATTATCAAAAAATTGATAATTATTTACAATTTGATTATTTTTTTTTTATTTTTATTACATTTTTTTCTCTTTTTCTTACGATTTCCTTTTCATATTACACTATGGCCAAAGTAGTGCAATATTACCATTGACATTGTACTACTTTGGGGAAGTGATCAGTATTTTTTTTACACAATATGATTGCTTATGTCAAAGAATGTATTTGCTATAAGCAAGCATTTTACTGAATGAAATCGATTCATTCAGGGTTTTTTTTGTGATTAGCTGTGATTGGCCACGGCTAATCACATGACAAAGATGGGCTGTGATTGTCCCAGTCTGTGCATTTGATCACTGTGACCGATCACAGCTAGTGACACAATTTTATTCAATCGATGGCACAAAAGGAAGCCATCCATTGTTTACAACTGTCATGTGACCTGCTGTGATTGGTCACAGCAGGTCCCATGGTACTGGCAACGGGCCGCTACACAGATCTGCCATCAGCTGTGTCTGAGGTACACAGCCGGTGACAGATCTTGCTACAGTGCAGTCCTGTGGGCACGAACAAGGGGCAATCCAGGAAGGACGTCATATGATGCCCACCCGGATCAACGAGAGTCCTGCCTGGCCATCATTTTTTCTATTGGCCGAGCGCCAAGTGGTTAAAATGCTGGATGTTGGTATAACAAATGGCAGTGATCAGGATGCTGGTATGGCAGTGATCAGGATGTTAGTATGAGTATGGGGGTGATCAAGATGCTGGTATGGGGTATGGGGGTGATCAGGATGCTGGTATGGGGGTGATCAGGATGCTTGTATGGGGTATGATGGTAATAAAGATGCTGGTGTGGGGTATGGCAGTGATCAGAATGCTGGCATAGTGTATGATGGTGGTCAGAATGCTGGTATGGGGTACGGTGGTGAACAGGGAGCTGGTATGGGGTATGGCAGTAATCAGGATGCTGGTAAGGCATATGGGATGATCAGGATTCTGGTATGGGGCATGGTGGTGATCAGGATGCTGATATAGCATATAAGGTGATCAGGATTTTTGTATGGGGTACGGTGGTGATCAGGATGTGGTATGGGGTATGGGATCATCTGGGAGCTGGTATACTGTATGGTGGTGATCAGGGTGTTGGTATGGGGTAAGGCAGTGATCATGGCACTGGTGTGGGGTATGGTGCTATATTTGTGCTCACTAGGATAGGTGACATGGGCTGGCTGCATTGATTATTGTCCCTACACTGGGACAGCAATCAAGGACACTGGGGGCAATGATCAGGGACACTGGTGTGGCTGACACCGCAGTCTGTGAGTGCTGATAGGCTGCTATACACTCACAGGCCACAGCATTGCTTCTCTCTGCTCTCACAGTGGGAGCAGAGAGAAACAATCTTTAGTTTCCCTTTGCATTATTTACTATGTGATTGCAGTGACTGGACACAACAATCGCATGGTAAAACACTATGTGACTGCTCAGACACAGTGGTAATGTGATATGCTATGTCTGAGCGAAATACCGATCACCGAGTTCCCGGGTGTGCGCTCTGTTAGCTGCGCAGGAGCCACTGACATACAGATATGTTAGCCCACATCGGCAAAGCTTCCTGTCTTCACATAGTCTATAGAGGTTAAAGTGATACTAAACACACTGTCAGGGCTCCGGGTGTGACCAGAAGTGTATGGACTGACACAGGGAAACGCAAGCTTCAGATATGTTATAAATAAGACAATTTATTAAAGACTAACAATACAAACATAAACGCAGTGCACCAAACCCCAAGCTAACACAAATACATACAACAAGGTGAAACAAACCCAAACCTAAACTGATACAGATACACAGGTACATACACATATAGAGCACAACGTAATCAGGCAGGCCGGGTCGATAACTATCGGACAGGTAGGTACAGGAGGAGCAGGCGGAGAGAATGGTCAGGGTCACAAGCCAGGGATCAAAACAGGAGAAGTCAGCAGAGGTCAGGATCAGGCCAAGTCAGCAACAAGTCAGGCAGAGGCAGAGGCAGAAACAGGAACAGGAACAGGAACACAGGTTACAAGATACAGGGGCCCATGGAAAAACACACACCAAGGCACGGACTGCAGGTCTGGCCATCCCTTAAATACACCTCCGTAATCAGCTTCAGGTGTTTGGCTGGCTGCAGGGTTTAGTCTCTGATTGCTGAGAGCACCCGCTGGCCAGCCCTGGTACTGCAGCCCCCAAGGAAGGTGAGTCCCACCATTACTGGCAAGTCCATTCCTGACAGTACCCCCCCCCTCAAGGACGCTCCAAACAGTCCTAGCTGGGCAAAATGTTCCACCGCCCGGGTCTGGTAACTGGCGGGATATCAAGAGACTGGCACATCGGGCTGGACTCCGGGCAGAGGCACATCGGGCTGGACTCCGGGCAGCGGCACATCGGGCTGGACAACGGGCAGAGGCACACCGGGCTGGACTCCGGGCAGCGGCACATCAGGCTGGACTCCGGGCAGAGGCACATCGGGCTGGACTCTGGGCAGAGGCACATCGGGCTGGACTCCGGGCAGAGGCACATCGGGCTGGACACCGGGCAGAGGCACATCGGGCTGGACACCGGATCACCAGGCGGAGCAGCAGGCACCGGGCCACCAGGCGGGGCGGTAGGCACCGGGCCACCAGGCGGGGCGGCAGGCACCGGGCCACCAGGTGGGGCGGCAGGCACCGGGCCACCAGGCGGGGCGGCAGGCACCGGGCCACCAGGCGGAGCGGCAGGCACCGGGCCCGCAGGCGGAGCGGCAGGCACCGGGCCCCCAGGCAGAGCGACAGGCACCGGGCCCCCAGGTGGAGCGACAGGCACCGGGCCCCCAGGCGGAGCGACAGGAAATTGGGCCCCCAGGCGGAGCAGCGGGCACCGGGCCCCCAGGAGGAGCGGCAGGCACAGGGCCCCCAGGCGGGGCAGCAGGCACCGGGCCACCCGCGGGGCAGCAGGCACCGGGCCACCAGGCGGAGCAGCAGGCACCGGGCCCCCAGGCGGAGCGGCAGGCACCGGGCCCCCAGGCGGAGCGGCGGGCACCGGGCCCCCAGGTGGAGCAGCGGGCACCGGGCCCCCAGGAGGAGCGGTAGGCACAGGGCCCCCAGGCGGGGCGGCGAGCGCCAGGCCCCCAGGCGGGGCGGCGGGCGCCGGGCCCCCAGGCAGTTGCGGCGGGCGCCGGGCCCCCAGGTGGAGCAGCGGGCACCGGGCCCCCAGGAGGAGCGGTAGGCACCGGGCCCCCAGGAGGGGCAGCAGGCACCGGGCCCCTGGGCAGAGCAACAGGCATCGGGCCCCCAGGCGGAGCGGCGGGCGCTGGGCCCCCAGGCGGAGCGGCGGGCGCCGGGCCCCCAGGCAGAGCGGCGGGCGCCGGGCCCCCAGGCGGAGCGATGGGCACCGGGTCATCAGGCACGACAGTGGGCATCGGGTCACCAGGCATCAGGTCATTTGGCTCGCCAGCGGGCACCGCGTCATCTGGCAAGGCAGTGAGCACCGAGTCACCAGGCACGACAGTGGGTTCCGAGTCAACTGGCATGACCGCGGGCACTGGGTCAGACATTGGATCGTCTGGCTCGACAGCGGGCATCGGTCACCAGGTATGACAGCGGGCACTGGGTCACCAGGCATCAGGTCATTTGGCTCGACAGCGGGCACCGCGTCATCTGGCAAGGCAGTGGGCACCGAGTTACCAGGCACGACAGTGGGTTCCGAGTCAACTGGCATGACCGCGGGCACTGGGTCAGTCATTGGATTGTCTGGCTCGACAGCGGGCATCGGGTCACCAGGTATGACAGCGGGCACTGGGTCACCAGGTATCAGGTCATTTGGCTCACCAGCGGGCACCGCGTCATCTGGCAAGGCAGTGGGCACCCGAGTTACCAGGCACGACAGTGGGTTCCGAGTCAACTGGCATGACCACGGGCACTGGGTCAGTCATTGGATTGTCTGGCTCGACAGCGGGCATCGGGTCACCAGGTATGACAGCGGGCACTGGGTCAATTGGCACGACAGCGGGCACCGGGTCATCAGGTACCGGATCGTCTGGCTCAACAGCAGGCACCGGGTCATCTGGCACTGGATCGTCTGGCTCGACAGCGGGCATCGGGTCTCCAGGCATGACAGCAGGCACTGGGTCATCAGGCATTGGATCGTCTGGCTCGACAGCGGGCATCGGGTCACCAGGCATGACAGCAGGCACCGGGTCATCAGGTACCGGATCGTCTGGATCAACAGCGGGCACGGGGTCATCTGGCGTCGGATCGTCTGGCTCGACAGCGGGCATCGGGTCACCAGGCATGACAGCGGGCACCGGGTCATCAGGCATTGGATCGTCTGGCTCAACAGCGGGCATCGGGTCACCAGGCATGACAGCGGGCACTGAGTCATCAGGCATTGGATCGTCTGGCTCGACAGCGGGCATCGGGTCACCAGGTATGACAGCGGGCACTGGGTCATCAGGCGTGATAGGATCATCAGGCTGGATCAGTTCATCAGGCTGGGTACAGACATCAGGCTGGGTAGAGACATCAGGCTGAAGTGCGGGTGCCGAGGCACCAGGCTGAACCACGGAAGGCAGGTTCTCAGACGGCAGGCTCACCGGTTTGGATACTGGCAGGATGGTACTGGTTGGAAAGAATTTTTCGCTTTTTTCTGGTTTTAACTACTGGAGCACTGCAAGTAAACGCAGGCCTGCAAACGAATGGAGCAGCTGAGGACAGAGAAGAGCTGGAAGATGGAACAGAGGAGGGAGCAGCCGCCACAGAGGACATCTCCACAGGGCCAAAGAAAGGATAGGTGCATCGAGTGGGAGCAGGGGACTGGTATGTGGTAGTTAGCAGAGTATACTGGGCCGTCACTGGGGGTGCTGTTGGGGATGCAGGAAGAGTGCCTTGAGCAGAGGAATGACGTTGCAAGCTGACTTAGGCTGGGTGCAACAAGTCTGACCATGTCTGCAGTATGGGTTGAACAAAGCTGAGCTTACACAAAGCCTGTCTGGTCAAAGACTGCACTGCGTTTATACAATCCCTTAATACCTGTGGTGAACATGCAGCATAATGCTCCAAGAAGCAATCCACATCATCCTCCAATAACCATACCAGGGACTCTACCTGCACTAAATGGTGGCAAAAAGTCATTCCTGCTTTCAGGGGTACCAGATGAAGCCAACTCTACACAAACATGAATCAAAGGTTGCACCTCAGAGAACTCTGTGCCCTGATCTACTAGAACATGAGTGATCCGTATACATTCTAGCAGTTGATCCCGGGTATAGTCCCTCAGAGTCTGATAAGCATATTCTCTGTCATCAAAAACCAGCAGCGACAAATATACAACCTCATCAAGATCCATCCTTCCCAGCAACAAGCCAAGATGGCTTCCCTGTACAGCGACTTCTGGTCAGGATTGGCCTTGGTGTAATGTCAGGGCTCCAGGTGTGACCAGAAGTGTGTGGACTGACACAGGGAAACGCAAGCTTCAGATATGTTATAAATAAGACAATTTATTAAAGACTAACAATACAAACATAAACGCAGTGCACCAAACCCCAAGCTAACACAAATACATACAACAAGGTGAAACAAACCCAAACCTAAACTGATACAGATACACAGGTACATACACATATAGAGCACAACGTAATCAGGCAGGCCTGGTCGATAACTATCGGGCAGGTAGGTACAGGAGGAGCAGGCAGAGAGAATGGTCAGGGTCACAAGCCAGGGATCAAAACAGGAGAAGTCAGCAGAGGTCAGGATCAGGTGGGGTCGGCAACAAGTCAGGCAGAGGCAGAGGCAGAAACAGGAACAGGAACGCAGGTTACAAGATACAGGGTCCCATGGAAAAACACACACCAAGGCACAGACTGCAGGTCTGGCCATCCCTTAAATACACCTCCATAATCAGCTTCAGGTGTTTGGCTGGCTGCAGGGTTGAGTCTCTGATTGCTGAGAGCACCCGCTGGCCAGCCCTGGTACTGCAGCCCACAAGGCAGGTGAGTCCCACGATTACTGGCAAGTCCATTCCTGACACACACATTGTTTAATTGATACTATCCCTTCTCTTTCTGTATGTGGATAATGGCACTGTAATGGTTTTAATAATAATAAAAAAAAAAAAATCATAGTACCTTTTTTTTTCCAATAGATATACAGCTGTCACATGACCAAGCTCTTTCCCAGCCTGTGTGCAGGAGAAGGAGTTTTATTACCAATAATACCAATAAGCAGTTATAAATTGCCATACAAAATGTATATTTGAAATGAAATCTTCATTATTGTTTGGCAATAACATGGTGTGGGCAGATTTCTGCAGTCACAGCCTATGTCACGCCCCTCCCACCTGTGTCTTAGAATAACAGAAAGGTGTTGTCTCCATCAGTTAAAATGTAATATCCCACCCCATAGTGTTTAGTTGGTTAGTGGGCATGGAGGAGGAGGGAGGGAGTGGGCTGTCATTTACCACTGTGTATTCACCCACATGTGTGACTCTATAGTCATATGGGTTTCTCTGATGTGATAGGGAGGAAAAGCATAGAAACTCACTGAAAACTGAGCATGTGCAGCACTGTTCTGCAAAATCTGCAACTGCATTGGAGACATGGACAGGAGGGGGAGATGGATAACAGCAGGATCAAAAAGGTTTTTTGCAGAATACAGAAAACGAATCCCATAGTGAATGAGTGAGTATGAACAGCATGTAATATAGCATTTATTGATAGTTTTTTTATGATGTGGGTTTAATGACACTTTAATGATATGTTAATGAATAAAAACTGCATTAATTAACTATATACATGCTTAAAGTTCAGCCTTAAAACTTTGCAGTTACTTTGCATCAGTTACTCCAGTCCAGGATTCATATTCATGTAATAGGATCCAGTTACCAGAGTGTAGGTTGGTTTTGTTTATGCCCCTAGAGACACATATATTTTGTCACAAGCACCATTGCTTTCTATGATAGATATTAGTTCAGTATGTGCACTCATTTTTTATTACTTCAAGAAGCATCTAAAATGTGTGTAGCTTTCAAAAAATCATCTTTCATACAACTGCCATAGAGATAAGTGTACATAATAGAGAAAGATGTGCATTCTGTACTTGGATTCTATAAATTGAAAAGCACTGAAATGCAGCAAAGCTATCTATACGTACTCTATAAGGAGCCAAAAGTTAAACAACAAGAAAATGTACTCAGTTTTATCATTTTACAGGAACAACACATATCAAGATACAAAATGTTAGTCCATCTTTAAATAGTCAGCAGGAACCATACTAAGGCACTGAATTTTCTCAAATAAAGAAAAATATATAACTAAATAAAGCTACAATTCTATGTATGGCTGTTTTGTTTTTTTTTTGTTTTTTTTTTTAGGCAAAAGTGCCTGCTTGTTTAAAGAGAACTAGTGGCAACACTTTTTTCATTTTGGATACAACAAGGGAAGGTTATAAACCTCTGTCATTTTGTTTTTCCTTTGCAATCTGTTTCCCATTGGGGGGATTTCACTTTTACTTTTTGTCTCATAGCTAAAACAGGAAGTGAGAGCAAATCCCTCCAAAGTGAAAGAATCCTGGGCTATCACCAGACTCACTAAAACTAGTGTCCCAACTGAAAATGTTCCCCTCTATTCCTGTTTTGGTGATAACCCAATATTTGAGATTTTCTTTTACTTTCACTCTTGGTAAAAGGCTAAACAGAAGAACTAGAGAGGGGGGGGGGGTCTTCCTAATGGGGGCACAGACAACAATAAAACCTGACAGATGTTTTAATCCCTCTACACTCTGTCCAAAGCTAAAAAAGGTTTGCCTTTAGTTTTAATTTAATGTAAGTATATCCGAATGAACAACCACCAGAGTGTCAGCACTTGTTTCTTGTCAGTTCTGTCATCCATAATGAAGTGTAGTGATGTAGGTAGGAAATTGGGGATTCTATAAAATAATTATGGGGGAACATTTTTAAGAGACCCTTTCACCATATTCGGAGGTTAAAGTGTTTTAGTCACGGACTGAAATCGTCCACTGCTTATCTGTTCCTGTCCAAAATTTATGACGCTAGCTTTGAAATGTGCGCACATTGGAAGGGACTCACGCTGACACACAAGTTCAGTCTATGAATACTTCTAGTTTATTATAATGAGAAAGTGAACTTATATATGCAGAATGATGCGAGAGTCATGTGACAACAGCATAAGCATTATATTAGTCTTTGATTGGTCATTTCCACAGGAAAACAATCTCCGTCATGGTATAGGTGTGATCTTCTTCAGTTTTATCTTATAGAGAAGAAAAACATTCCTTTGTTTCCCAAATCACACGGTGGAAGGGGGTCTGTGTGTGTGAGCAGACATTTCTTAAGCAAGGATTTCTTATAGTACCACAAAGCCCAGCAGGCAGAAAATATTCACACAACATATGTATTAAAGTATAAAAGTAAATATTTATAAAACTTATAGAAATAGAGTATATATATATATTCAATAGGAAACGAAATAGGCATTTTACCAAATCCATCACAAAAGTACCAAAAACCCAAGAATTGTAAATGCTTACAAGCATTGTTTCCTTTCCATACAGGATTTTCTGATCAGTTGCAATGTGACTTTGAACTTGCCGGGAAGTTTGACTACTCCATGGGAGTCAATTCCTGTAAATTCCTTAGCACAGCCCCTCCCTCCTTGCGCATCATAGTCCTCTTCTCTTCTGGGAGTGTCTAATCACTGTCTGTGCTCTGTGCCCAGTGTTTCCCCTCCGCTCAAATCCCCACAAAACCTATTGAAGTGATTCTAAACCTTTAATTTCTAAACAACATTGAAATGTATTATTTGCAATGTGATTATATTTCTACATTCCATGTATCTTATTTTTTTCTTTCTCTCAATAAAAACCGGAATAAAAACCATCTGCAATTGTGTCTTCCACTAAACTGTTTAATCTTTGGAGTTTGGACATGTCAATGACTGACTTGCTGAACATCTGTTAGAGCTTGGCCTTGGTGACCTTTAATTTAAAAAAAATAACAAACATGTTATACTTACTTGCTCTGTGCAATAGTTTTGCACAGAGCAGCCTCAATTCTCCTCTTCTGTGGTCTCCCGTCAGTGCTTCTGGCTCCTCCTGCCTTCTGAGTAACCCACAGCAATCAGCATGCTAGGGTGGGTACCCATATGGGCTCGTTCCTTAGCCCCACTGCCTGTGTCTATAGACGCCCCCCACTACATCATCATAGGATTTGATTGACAGCAGCAGAAGCCAATGGCTCCCACTGCTATCAATCTGCCCTGTGAGGAGGGAGAGAGCAGAGAAAGACTCTGCTCTCATGTACAGCGCTGGATCAAGATTGGGCTCAGGTAAGTATAAGGGGGGGGGGGGGGGGGGCTGGAGATCCTGGACACAGGAGGTTTATTACTTTAACTCAAAGAATTAAAGTAGTTCTAAAGGCTGAAGGTTTTTTTTACCTTTATGCAGTAAAAAACCTTCTGTGTGCAGCTCACCCTCAGCCCCCCAATACTTACCTGAGCCCAATCTCAATCCAACACTGCACACGAGTCTCGGCTCTCCTGGGTCTCTCTTTCCTCATTGTCTGACCACAGAGTGAGGGGCGGGGCCGAGATACACTTTATGTATCTTATGGACATACA